TTTCTTGTATAATAGCTTTATAAGAAGTTATACAGATCTTGAATCAATATATATTATAGTAGCTTAAGCAGTATTGCTAGGAGTGCCATAAAAGTTATTATCTTTATCCTAGACTTTCTGAACACATTGTGATGAAGTCTATTAAATATTATATTAAATAAAGAAATTATTATTATAATTCATAAATCTGTCTTTGAGATTGTATTGCTAATAATATATTACTCATAAACTTATCTTTGACTTTGTATTGCTAATAATACATTGTTTAATACACTTATCTTCGATTCGTATTGTTGATAATATGAATATTATATCTTATATTCTGACTTTAAAGATTTAAAGATGTTTTTAATATGTACATTATATTTGATATTGAGATTTTGAGAACTCTTTTTAGCAGTTCAATTATTGTATTAAAGAACACAACTATTATCAACCTTTAAGTGATTCTATAAGTACTTGTCATACTTTAATTTATATTTAGTCTAAAGCCATAAAGTATTATTAAAACTTTGAATTGTCATTAAGATATTGGAAGTTTTCCTTTAAATATTCCTTAAATTTTATAAATACCTTTGAGTATTTCAAAAGTTCCATCAAAACGGTAACAATATTCATCCCTTCTTCTTCAAGTAACATCAATCAATTTTCTTGAATCATATCATGGTGAGCTTAAAATAAAAATCTCTATAATACATGATATTATTGATAAATAAATTTTTTATTATTGTGTTTGTTTATTATTTATATTATTATAATGATAATATTATTTTTTTATAGGTGCGTGCCATATGATTTTAGAGTTTGATGAAAAGAAGGCAGTAGATGAAAAGAAGTTGTTGTTACTTTCTGTACAAAAATCATCTCTATTACCAATGTTAAATCTGAAGTTCTCACCGAAATTTATAAATTTCCTTTTTTAATCCAAAAACTTCTTGCAAAAAAGCACATGCTATCTCAAAAAGATTACAAGAAGGAAAAAAAATACCAAATATCACAATTACAAAATATGATTACAAGTTTTTTAATAATTATATGCTGCTTTGTCATCACATTTTTCATCAGCAACTTTGTAGTGATGTGAATATCCTGATGTTTGAAGTATGGATAAGTTTCCAAGAAACTTTTGAAGAAAGTGAGTTGGAGGTGTATCAATCTCACGATTTAGTGAAGATACACCCTCAATTAAAAAATAATGTGATTGCAGAAAAAAATTGACTATTAATAAATGAGTTATTTGAAAGAGCTAGAAATTAATATTATAGTTTGGTAAATTAAGATAATACAAAAGAAATGATAAAAATTGTTACAAATTTAGGAGTCTATTCTTGAGGAAAAAATATTTAATTTTTATTATTAATTATTTGACAATTTATTCGAGAAAAAATCATTATAATATTAGCATTCCCTTATCATTATTTTTTATTATATATTACATGTATAATAAATATATACACATGAAAATCACTACACATGAAATTTTTAATAATGAAATATTCCACAATGTTCTGACCTCACAATGTGCACGATTGTAGTGAATATGAGTATTGTCCGCTATTTCAAGTTCAGAATTCAATTTACGAGTATTTACTGTAATGATCAACAATCCTAACATTATAATCGTGAGTATTGTGAACTAAACACTCGCTAAAATCATAACCTATATTGACAATGGACTAATTCAACTGCGAAAAACGGAAGAAATCAACGATACGGCATACAATCAAGAATACACAATCGATATTACGAACGAAAAGACAGGGTGATTGGATATATTTTATTTGTCCAATCGTAGATGTTTAACAAACACCTACAAATATTATATCCAATATGAGTGTTAGAAATAAAAAAGCGAAATAAGAAAATGAGAACCTACCATACAAACTCCTTATTAATCAACGAATTCGGAATGGTGGATATCAGAATGCGAAAAGGATAATCAACATCCCGGTGTTGAATGCACAGTGCAAGAGAATGGAAGCATGTTGATTCGGAAGATCCACCTATAGAAATAATGAATATCGAAAACAATGGATAGGAAGGTGTCAGGGACGAAAGAATCATATCGGTAACAGGAGCGAAAATCCCGCGGAGACAGCAACCCGTTGACCAAGCAACTAAGAATAAGGTCGTGAATGAACCTGATAAAAGAAGGAACTCAGGATCCACGTCAAAGAAGATGAATGGTATGGACCTGAACACGTCAATGGTGTTATCATTTCCGCGATAGCCATCGAGCAGGATGCAGACGTGGAAACCAACAAGGAACCAGACCACGAGTCTAGAATTGAAGGAGAGGATAGTGTTAGGATGAAAAGAAAAATGATGTTAATAATTGTAAAGGATGTGAGAAAAACCACGGAAGTACCTACCCAAAAACACCAATAAATTGACCATCAAAGGTTTGACGACGAAGTCGAATGTATGGGCCCAGAAACAAGTAAATCGAATCCGCCCATATAGATAATGGACGAAAACGTCACAAAAGCAAACAATAGTGATGTTAAACCTGCGTTATCTGGTGGAAACGCGAAGCGTATATCGATCAGGAAGGTTATAGTTTTCATCATTTCGATGATCCACGCCACCACCAGGAAACACAAAGCACAGGAGGAGATAATAGTCATAACGGGAACCACACTGATAGAACTCAACAAACGCTTCTTTTCCGCTTAATTTCCACCCGACAAAAGACAATTAATAATAAAGTAAAAGCAAAAATTCATCCTCCAGACGCGCCCGGAAAGAAGGCAAGTTGAAACTATGAAAGAATTATATGTAAAGTTGTAAATGCGGCCTCTATTTCCTCTGGCTCGGCAAACACACGGAACATGTGAGCGGAACATTAAAATTACTCCCTTAACATTCTCAGATGCGAATGAATTCCGACTCCTCCTAAGAACACCACCAATCTCAATTAAAGGAAACAGACGACAACGTTAAACTCTCCTGCAACGAATCACCGGATGTCCCCTAGCTGGCTTTGTTCTAAGGAACTCGAATTACCGTAGGGCCTCTCACCACGCAGGTCGCAGACCCTCCAAGCGATAAGAGAACTTGGAAATATTAAATTATGCGATTTGAAGAACTACTGTTTTATTTATTTGTAACCAGATTTTTAGAGGAGACTGACAAACTTGTCTTGACCGACCAATCAAATCGTAATATTATGTGTAATTCAAAACAAACATAAATCATGTGATGCAGATTAAATGTGGCGCTTCTGTGGCTAAGCCGGCTAAACGGCTTGCTTTAAGGAACCCCTTTTTGTGGAATATGCGACAATTGTCAAAAACATAAATTATTAATAATTGTAGACGAGCTAACAACGGAAAATAGATCTATAACGGCAGATGACACGATTGATATTTTTGTCATTCAATAATGAAAGATGACGTGGCTGACGTTTTTGTCATTCAAAAAATGAAAGGATTTATTCGCAAGAGTGAGCATTCTACCACAAATTATGGAAACTAAAGATTTAGCTTTTTCTTAATTGGTAATTGAAGGGTTAGTTTAATCCGTTAGGTTCTTATCATTGATTCCATACTTCATCAATAATGATCTACGTTAAATTGCTTTTCTGACTGCTGCTAGAGAATTTCCATTTTACGGAGCCTGGACATGTGACTCAGTTCCTCTAAATTTTCCGCGTGCAATTGATAAGGTTAGGGTTAGGGCTAGAGGACAAGTTTATATAAAATCGTATTCTTAACATTTTTAATTAGTATTCCAAGACAGGTTTAAGCATCGGTTTTCTCGCATTTTTCATATCTTGTTTCTGATTTGTTTTGCCGGGTTGATCAAAAATTTTACGCGCTCCTATTGGATGGATTACACGCGTTCGCAGATATTTATTGGTGACGTAACGAACTCTATCTGACTATTTTAATCTGAAGAAGAAAGAAAATATATTTATACCTCAAGTCACTTCAAAACATTAGAGCCTGAAGGAAAAAGGAAATGGCGCGCGAACCTCTTGATGCGTACAAGAAGGCAAGTAAAGAATTTTTTGTTGAAATGTGAATAGGAAGTAAGTGGCATGGCAGGAATTCTTCTCGCTTCTTGCCATTCGAAACTTTTCGTTGAGCCACAAACCAATGCCAGGGCACAGGAGATTCTTCTCGCTCGCCTGTGTTCAAGTCTTTTCGCCGACCTGGCATTGGTCCCATTGGGGCACAGGGGACTCTTCTCGCTCGCCTGTGTTCAAGTCTTTTCGCCGACCTGATGGGATGAAAACCAAATGGAAATTTTGGACATACCAGTTGAGAATATTACTAATTCCTCAAATCTTCTATGCTAGAGACCATGGCCTGATTATCAAAATGGGGAAAGGAGCGTAAATCTGTCAGTGGACCTTCAGTTCACTTCTACCAAATTACAGATAGTTCAGTAATCAGGGTCAATAATGGATTTTTCAACGTTAATAGATCGAGAAGAAACCTCTTGATGCGTACAAGAAGGCAAGTAAAGAATTTTTTTGTTGAAATGTGAATAGGAAGTAAGTGGCGTGGCAGGAATTCTTCTCGCTTCTTGCCATTCGAAACTTTTCGTTGAGCCACAAACCAATGCCAGGGCACAGGAGATTCTTCTCGCTCGCCTGTGTTCAAGTCTTTTCGCCGACCTGGCATTGGTCCCATTGGGGCACAGGGGACTCTTCTCGCTCGCCTGTGTTCAAGTCTTTTCGCCGACCTGATGGGATGAAAACCAAATGGAAATTTTGGACATACCAGTTGAGAATATTACTAATTCCTCAAATCTTCTATGCTAGAGACCATGGCCTGATTATCAAAATGGGGAAAGGAGCGTAAATCTGTCAGTGGACCTTCAGTTCACTTCCACCAAATTACAGATAGTTCGGTAATCGGGGTCAATAATGGACCTTTCAACGTTAATAGATCGAAAAGAAACCACGAAGAGGTATATACTCGCATTTTTTTAACCAGAAGTTGAGAATCAGCAGAGCTAATTTTGTATTTCAATACTTTAGGACGATTTTGAAATCACAAAAAAAGTTATCAAAATTTAACGATATCATTCGATTATTTAGTTCATATTATAAATTTTTATTGGAATCAGAATGTAATAATAGAGTTTAATTATAATTAGTTTGTCTATATACTTCACAACTCGAATTGAGCAACAATTATTTTTTTAAAAAATCTATCAAATAAGATCATTAAATTATTAAAAATTCATTAAATATCTTTAAAATTTATACGTTAACACAATTAAGAAAATTTACAGGTAAGGATGTTAAGTGACTTAAAAAAAGGTCCGATTTCCTGCCGATATGTGTAGGCATAAAAATCGATGAGAACATTTGACTCAGCAAATAAACCTTCGGCCTTTGCGATCTTTATTGACTCATTTTGATATCGCCGGAATAACTGAGACACATTAGTCTCACCCTTTTGGTTGAACGGATTGCTGATGTTTTTTCTTCTTCAATGCTCGGCTGTTCATAATCGGAACTGTCTGAAAGAAATTGTCAATCAAATTTTAATTAATATAAGGTCAGTTAATAAAAAATAATATTGGAAGTAACACGAGCTTACATTATGAAACAGAGGTTAGTAGTGATGTCGTCAAAACTTCCCCCAAGCGATAAACCCTTTCGTCATTTTAGTTGTCATTTTGACAATTTTGCATAAGTCGAAACTAATGACTAAAGGTAAAACCTTTACAAGATAAACCTGCGTAATTCAAAAAATCTGACTAAAGTAGATTTTATGACGATACCGTCTGGCAATCAAATTTTCGATTTCATGTGGCTGAATCAGTGTCACATGAAAAAATAGTTTACCTTCAACTTTCCCAGCTTCGCCAACAAAAAACACGCTCACATGAGCACGGAAAATTAACGTTAAAGGCTATTTATCGTTCGGGTTAGGGTATGGGTTAGAATGGAGGACAAGGTTATACGTAAAATTGCCTTCCCGACATTTTTTGTAAATATTTCAAGCCAGATTTTGACATCTGTTTTCCATATTTTTTATATTATTCACTTTTTTCATTTTCTTGTATCGGATTTATTTTGCCGAATTGATCAAAAATTTGCGCATTCTTATTGGTTTGCGCTCACGTGAACGTGTTTTTGTTGGCTGTGAATAAAAATACATAAATTTTTGATTAGTCTGACAAAACAAGAAAAAAATATAGGAAATAAATATCTAAATCCAGCTTGATATACTAAAAAAAATTAAAAAGATAATTTTATATATAATCTTAATTTTGACTCTAATTCTAATTCTAATTCTAATTCTAATTTTTAATAATAAGCTATATTATTATAAAATTATTCTGAACATATACAATATTATATGATTTAATCTTTTTTTATTATGACTAAATATTATATTTCTAAATTATGTTTTAATTATTTAGTTATATTATTATAATCAGAATATTTTATAATATAATTATTTTATTGATAATTAATTACTTTTATTATATTTAATATTTTAATTATTTAATTTAATTAATTTAATTATTTATTATTTAATTATTTAATTATTTAATTAATTATATTCTTATTAAATAAATTTGAAATTATATAACTTTTATATTTAATATATAATTTGAATATGAGATTTTTATATATAATTTGTATATATAATTTATTATTATAAATTTTTATAATTTTTATAATTTTATAATTTATATAATTTGCATAATTTATAATTTGCATAATTTATATAATTTCTAGAATTTACTGAATTTAAATATAATTTGATTTTTTTGAATATAATTTATTATCTTTTAGTCAGATTAATTTATATTTAATTATTTTAGCTTTAAAAATATTGTTATAGTTTATTTTGTTAGTTATATTTTATTGGACAATTTTTATATTTATTTTATTGGACATTTCGAATAGTATATTTTATTGGACAATTTTTATATTTATTTTTATTGAACATTTCGAATAGTATATTTTATTGGACAATATTTATTTTATTTTTTATTGGTTAGCTATTTTTGGACTTATTATTTACATATACTGTGCATCAATGTAACAGATATATTGAACATTCGATATTTTGAACTGTTGATCATTAGAGATATCGAATTGTTGATATTTTGAAGCATTAATCTTTAGAACTATAGAAATTTTGCTTGTTTAATGTTACGGATATTTAGAGATCTTTGTAACAATCAATTTTATATATAAGTAGCACTTTACTTGATAGCAAAAAAGCAAGTTAATCAATAAGTAGTAACTTAACAAGTTCTTAATAATGAATCTACTTATCACATACCTTATAATTACCCTTTGATTTTTAGTATAGTTTTGATTATAGACTTGGAATAGTCTAT